AAAACAAATCCCCCTCCCTCCCTCGCTCCGCTTTGATGTGTCTGCTGTGTTACCTGGGTTTGTAGAGCATTAACAGTTATGTAGAAGTCCTGTCGACTGTCAGTTTTTCTTATCTGTGAGCACATGAATTAGGATGTAAAGAGGGATATCGTGAATGGTTTTATTTGGGGTTGTTGTTGTTGTGAAGTTAAAGGTTATATGAACGTGTAAGCATGAACCTCACCAAAACATGCATAGGTCTCATTTCACTTTTTCAGAAGCATGAGAAATCACACCTGTTTCTGTAAAGCTGGCAAGCATCACCTACCGGATGTTGCATGCTTCTATAGTTGAAGCTTGGCCAGCCACAAACATGCCATGAAAGTAGAGTACTGAAAAAGAACATCACCCATATTCTTTTTTTTCTATTTTGTTTTTCACTGTACAACAGAACGCGCTCCAGGAGAGCCAGCTGATGATGTTGACTGTCCTCTGTGTGTTTTTCTTCTCTAATCATGTTTGATCCGTGAGTTCTCATGTCACCGTGAAATCGTTCCTAGTGTGGGGTCTGGGTGAATCATCTAGTGTGCACGTTCAATGGATTATAAGGCTAAAAATCGGTTGAAACCATCTTCATGTCTATGGTCTCCCATGGTTTTAAAATTGGTAAATATTTGAAAATCGTCTAGTGTGTCCCAGGCCTAACAGAACTAAAGAATCGGGAGCTTCTGCGGGTTAACAAGAAGACCAACCAATCAGAACACTCTCTCTGCTTCTGACTCATTTTGCGCATTCTGATTTGCTGACGTGTTTTTGGTGGTTTTAGAGAGGGCGTGGATGACTTTAGCAAAATAAATGAAATCGTGTACAGCGATATATATTTTTTCCCGTTTTGCATTGTTACATTATTTTCATGTCAGTTAATTACATTTCTTACCAAAATTCATAATAATTCTTATTAAATTATCATTACTGGCAAATAAAAAATAAGAGATTAAATCACCATGTTACTTACCTGATCAGATGACATTTTCCGGTGAAACTTCTTATTTCGGACATACTTCAAAGACGTAGTATCTGTAATTGTGAAGTACAGTAAATATCCACACTGGTGCGTTGACTGACAGCACACATATACAGCTCAAAACATTAGATTCATGCACGCTGAGTAGCCGTGCGGATGCACAACCCATGTAAAGAAGATCAATCTGCAAATAACTGCAATTGCAGGTTTCGAACAGAGATGGTGACAAAGAGGCAAAACTTTTGGACTGCAGCTTTAATTTCATCACTGTTTAAGAGAGACAGTTAAAGGAAGAGTTCACCCAAAAATGAAAATTCTGTCATAATTTACTCACCCTCAAGTTGATCCAAACCCGTATGAGTTTCTTTCTTCTGTTGAATACAAAAGAAGATATTTTAAAGAATGTGGGTAACAAAACAGTTGGCGGTAGCCATTGATTTTCATATATGGGGAAAAAATACTATTGAGGTCAAGGGCTACCATCACCTGTCAAATATCCCTGTAAGATTTTGATATTAAAAACAATTCAAACTGCCAAGCATCACTCACATTTAAAAATCTAGTCCATTCAGCCATTTAAGCTTCTGTTTTTATTCATTCTGAAAGTAAACACCAGTTCATCAGAATTATATCCTAGTCCTGATTATGCTGTTGTATTTTTGCTTTAGTACTGCATGTATTTTTATAGGAGTGCATTTTGGAGACATGTTTAATCCAGGGAAAGTGTGCAGCAGAGTTTGCTCCAATCTCAACTGCATTAAAATACAGTATATATATTTTTATTAAGGACAACAGGAATTATCCTTGTCTGAGAAACTGGAGGTTTCTTCAGAGGTCGAGATAAGTTTCATTTGATAAAAAAATCGAAAATAATATCAGATCTTTTCAATAAATTCATATTTGCAATAATTAATATTTATTTCTTTATATATAAAATGAGAACCTTTTGGGCTGAAGTACTCACTGTTGTCTATAATAATTATTATTATTATAATTAGAAGCACTCACTATAGTAAAAACATTTGAGATATTAAAAATATTAAAAATATTTAAGATGAAATATTTATGTAAAAAATGTCATCTTAACATGTTTATAAGGCCACCCAAAGTAGGATTTTTGCGTACATTTGGTTTCAGTTGTTTCTACATTTTTTTCCACCACGGATTTAGAATAAATAATAGTCAAAAGTTATTGATGAATCATGATTTGTTCGTGAATGAGATCAGTGTCTGGAACTGTGCTTGGATTTACTCAAATTGAAATCTGCAGTCAGATGATCTGAGCTGCTATCCACATTCAGTTTATACCTCTGTGTTTTTACTGATTATCAGTGTGAGTCTCATTTGCGTATGCTTTCAAAGGAATTTTACGAGAAACATCCAAGACAAATCTAATACTTCATATAGAAATAACTGAGATCTCATTAGTCTCATTAAGATCAACCTGTGAGTAATAGATCTTTCAGTCTGGCTCTTTGTGTACTAGTTAATCACTTTTACTTAAAATCAACTGGTACAGACTTCTTGCCCCATAATGCCGCTGTGTGAACAGACTTTGCTTTTGCCCTTGGTTTTACTGTGTGATTTAACATCGTCGTACTAATGGATAAACTGGAATGGGGTCTTATTCAGCTCCGCACACCCAGTCAGCGCGGCTCCCAGCATACAAATGAACTGGGATGAATGGACACCACACTCTGAGAAAAAAACAAACCACCTTGGCGGTCGTGTCAGGAGAAAGAGTCGCTGTGTGAGAGGTTTGTGCTGAATAAGTCACGGATATATACTGGGAAGTCAGGAGGTGTGAACGGGAAGCAGTTTGGAGAGTCTGGTCTGACTGTGCGCAGCATGCAGAGCTGCATTGAGTTTAAGATTACAGGCCGCATGAGTCCAGCACAGCACACGGCCGACACAAAGTTTGGACAAGCTGTGATGTGTTCAGTCACAACTTTCAGAACAGATTTGACTCTCTCTGAAGTGTGGTGTTTGCCTGTGCAAAATTCACCGCCGAGATGGTTGCTAAGCTCTTTCATTCTTACTGGTTTAAGTGTCCACCTTCAAGTGTCTATGATATCCTGGTCTATATTTTTTGAAATATTTATGTTTATGTGTATTTATATATAAAATAAATGTAAATAGATCATAAAAAATATATAAAATAGGTGAGGGATGAGTTGTCTTTATAATAAATGTATAGCTGTATATAATAAAATAATATCTTAAATATTATGTATTATTTTAAAATTATATTTAAATTAAATATATAAATAATTCAGAATTGTATGTTTATGTATGGATATATTAGTATTAATATTATATGTTATACTTGTATTAGTTTATATTTCGTTTTTTAAATAAAGAATTAATAATTGTATATTTATGTACTTTACATGTATAAATATTTTATTCATTATTTTTTAAATATTTACATTTAAATATACATTTTTTAAAAATACAAAATGTATAAACATATAACATACATGGTGCAGTATGAGTTGTATTTTTTGAAATATTTGTGTGATTATTAGAATAGATATTTAAGAACCATTATTTCATCTTATATTAACCATTATCTCATCTGTATATATTAGCATTAATATTATATTTGTGACCCTGGACAACAAAACCAGTCAATTGTGTCAATTTTTCAAAATTGAGATTTACACAGCATCTGAACGCTGAATAAATAAGCTTTCCATTGATGTATGGTTTGTTAGGACAGGACAATATTTGGCCGAGATACAGCTATTTGAAAATCTGGAATCTGAGGGTGCAAAAAAATCTAAATATTGAGAAAATCGCCTTTAAAGTTGTCCAAATTAAGTTCTTAGCAATGCATATTACTAATCAAAAGTTAAGTTTTAATATATTTACAGTGGGAAATTAACAAAATATCTTCATGGAACATGATCTTTACTTAATAATCCTAATTATTTTTGGCATAAAAGAAAAATTTATAATTTTGACCCATACACTGTAAAAAATGACGTGAATTTAACGGTAAAAGACTGTAAAAATGCTACAGTAAAAACCTGTTAAATGGTTTATGGTAAATTCCCCTACTATATACGGTGAAAAACTGTATTGGACATTACATGTAATTTTACGGTAGTATACCGTTTTTGGAAGTGAAAAAGACCGTATAATTTACAGGGAATAACCGAACTGACATTCCCAGAATTCCTTGCGTTACATGTCAAATTTGTTATAGTTTTTTTGTTGAAATAACTATGTTTATTCTTAGTTTTTTTCTTATCAGTTTTGTATATTAGGGTTGTATGTTACACCTAATGTTGTTAAATGAATGTTTATTGCATTATTTCAGTTTCATGTGTGTTACCATGATGGTGTTTAGTGTTTGTGTGAATGACACTGTACACCTGCTACATATGTTATTATTATCAGTGAATTACAAAGGTACAAAACAGATTTCAGTACTTCAATAGGTTGGTATATTGACATTATTTCAGTTAATGAAATTACGGTATTTAACTGTAAATTTAAGTTAAAACTGTAAAGCCTAAAACGTTGCTACCACAGTTGCCGTTTTTTTACCGTAAATTTTATGGAATTTTTTTTTACAATGTATTTTTGGCTATTGCTACAAATATACCCCAGCGACTTAAGACTGGTTTTGTGCTCCAGGGTCACATATTATTATTATATTTATGTATATATACATTTTTAAATATTATATATATATATATATATATATAATTGTATGTTTATGTACTTGAAATGTATAAATATTTTATTCATTATTTTAAATATTTATATTTACATGCAGATTTATATACATTTATTCAAAATGTATAAACATAATATAAAAATGGTGCAAGATGAGTTGTATTTTTGAAATATTTGTGTGATTACTTATCCTCCAAAGAACCATATAGCAACCCTGCTAAAATAGTTGCCAAGAAGTAAGAACGAATGGTAAAAAGTAGCCAAAGCATTGTGATTCTAATGCTGATGACTGTTATTGATTATATTTCAGGCCACCGAACCGTTTCTGGTGAATGAAGACCTGTCCAGAGGTCCTGGGATACCAGAGTGCTTCGTAGTGTCCGATTCCTACAGGGTATGTCTGCTTATTACTCCATTACTCCTTTAGCATTGTTATTGATGTTATGTAGTCCAAAAAGTCACTGCAAAATATATAATCGTGATTTTTATTTCCATATGCACATCTGCACATGCAGTGAAACAGAAAAAAACTGTGCAGAAGGTGAGTCTCATAACTCCACTGGAGCACTGTTTTCTTGTGGGAAATTATAACGTGCATACTTCTATAAAATGAGAAGTATACATGAGGGCAGGACTGCAAGGAAGAGAAGAAAAAATACTGCGAAGCAGGGAGAAGTGCAGCTTTTAAAATTCCACCCAGCGAGTGCGCTGGATTTACAGTGATGGGAGTGAAATAAAACGGTCATAAAAACAGAAGGGCGGGACGGAGAGATGGAAAGATGGGAAGGGGAGTCTGTTAATGAGCTGGGAGCCGCTTTTCTAGTCCTCGTTTCCAGCGGATCGCTTTTGCAAACGTTTTTTGGGAGAAAAAAATCTGGATTGCTCCGGCGTCTCTGGGAGCAGGCTGTCGCAGAAATGGAGGGAAAATTATGAAACGCGATTGGCTGAAAGTACAGAAGGGGCTGAGGTGTAAAATATAGCTGTGTTGAATATCAGGAATGTGTCAGACTATATCATCTGTTGAGATCATTTAGAGGAAAAGGAGGGCCTGGCTGTATTTCGTGCTGATTTTTATAGCAGTATGCTTTTCTATTTTTATTTTGTGGAGAAACCAGCAGCAGTTCATTGCTGACACCAAAACGACTGCTAAACGTTGTGTCATGATGTCTTGTTGATGAATTAGTATTTAGGTTATGAACCTCATACCAAATCAGTGGTTCTCAACCATTTTGACCCAAAAATAGAACAGCAGAGAAAAAAAAATATGCTAAATGCAAATAATAAAATGCAACTAACCATATAATCATGCATGCAGATAGCAACGTTATGGATGAGAAAACCTTTCCCATATACTGCTGGTCAAAGTTTGAAAGAAGTCTCTTTCTTTTGTGCAATTGTTGCACATTTTAAAATACAGTAAAAGTAGTATTTCAAACAACTAATTTCTATGTGAATACATTTTAAAATGTAATTTATTTCTGTGCTGCAAAGCTGAATTTTCAGCATCATTACTCCAGTCTTCAGTGTCACATGATCCTTCAGAAATCATTCTAATATGCTGATCTGATGCTCAATTTTTATCAATTATTATTGGTGCTCAATTATAAATAATGGTTCTTCTTATTATAAATGTTTACATTATTTATGCTTTTTTTCAGGATTCTTTGATGAGTAGAAACTTCAAAAGAACAGCATTTATTTGAAATAGAAATCTTTTGTTACATTATAAATGTGATCAATTATTATTGGTGCTCAATTATAAATAATGGTTCTTCTTATTATAAATGTTTACATTATTTATGCTTTTTTTTCAGGATTCTTTGATGAGTAGAAACTTCAAAAGAACAGCATTTATTTGAAATAGAAATCTTTTGTTACATTATAAATGTCTTTACATGAAACTTGATCAAATTAATGCATCCTTGTTGAATAAAACTTCATTCATTCATTCATTTAAATGTTACTTGCCCCAACATTTTCAATAGTAGTGTCTCACAGTTGTCACAAAAAATATGAAGCAGCACAGCTGTTTTCAATGTTGAAATATTAAGAAATGAGCATCAAAATCAGCATATCAGAATGATTTCTGAAAGATCATGTGACACTGAAAATTCAGCGCTGCATCACAGGAATAAATTACATCTTAAAATATATTCAAATAGAAACCATTGTTTTAAAATAAAATAATATTTAACAATTTTTACTGTATTTTTTGATCAAATAAATGCAGGTTTGGTGAGCATAATAGACTTTAAAAAATCTGTATTATTCCAAACTTTTGACCCATACAGTATGTATTTTGTTGTTGACATCTGTGCCTTTAAAATCAGTTGAGAACCACTGAACTTGAACTTGAGAACAAAAATAAGCACGCAATATATAAACCTTCAAGCTTTCACTTGCAATTTTACTGTTTTGATTTTGTAGCTCAACTGGTAAAGCAAATAAAGGTCATGGGTTTGATATCCAGGCATACAACTAGGTTTGCAAAAGGTGGAAAATTTCCAGAATTTGTTTTTGGAAACTTTAGTAAAATTATGTAATTTTTTGGGAAAGTTTTTGGAAATTTTCCAACCTTTTGCAGTGTTACATACTACTGCTCTTAAAAACAAGTAAATGTAAATCTAGATCTAATGCTCTGTGTAAAAGCTATCCAGCAGCTGTTGATTTACTGCTAGCGTGTGGTTCTGTCATGTGCTAGTTTAGCAGTCTTGTACCCACTCAAACCATTAACTGTGGGGCACATTGAGAGGTGGTACATGAGTTATCACATTGTGAATGACGTTCCTTTGGTTTGGAGAAACCTCCTCTCCTCTCACCACTGCAGGCCTTTGAACTGGTTTTGTGGCAGTTTGTTACAAATCAGTTCTCTACAAATCTCGGGGTGGAAAAGACTAGGAAATTCCCTTCATTTTAAATCCACCTGCTTTCATGCACTTTCAGTTTACTATTTCCAAAAAGACCAACATTGATTTTTAACACAAGGTGTCAATGGGTAGCTGACATGAAATTTGTCCTGCAATGTGTACTGTGCTGCATCTTAAACTATTTTACATATTACTTATTGTACATAGTTTTATATATTTCATGCTAATTTACAGTAAGGTTCCATTTGCTAGCATTGTTATTAGTTAACATGAACTACCAATGAAAAATAAAATAATTCTAAAGCATAACATTAATTTCAACAGTTACTAACACATTACTAAAATGAAAAGTTGCTCTGTTAACACTATTTAATGGATTTAAGCTGACGTGAACTAAAATTGAACAATTGTATTTTTATTAACTAACATGAATAACGTTAATGTTATCTATTTCATATTTTTATTTACATTATTTTTTAATTTTATGTAAATTTGTAATATTTGTAAAACAACATTTTTAAATTTTTTTTAATTTAATATTTGTAATATTTGTAAAACACCACAGGACCATTTAAGTGAACTTCAAATAAATAAATAAATTCATACATTGTTTTAAAAGTTAAAAGGTGATTTAAAAACATAGTGTAAACTAGTAAAAAATATATATGACTAACAAAAACCAAAATGCAAAAAAATCACTGTTTATATAAAATGTATGCATGTATATTTTGAATATTTGTGCTTTAAAGTATTCATTTGTAACACCACTGGACCATTTACTTGAACTGTGAAAAACAATAATAATAATACAAATAAATATTTTAATTATTAATAATAATAATAAAAGGGGATTTCAAAAATTGTGAAAACTAGAAGTCTAAATGTCCCTTTTATAAATCTATCAATTTCAACTCAATTAATATCTGATTAATAAATACTTTAACAAGTGAATTGCTCATTGTTAGTTCATTATACATAATGCATTAACTAATTTATAATGTGCTATCTATTTCTTTTTTTTTCCATTTATACATTTTATATACATTTTGAATATTATACTTTTAAATATTCATATGTGACCCTGCAGGACCGTTTACTGTAAGTGAACATTTCCCTTCTATAAATAGATAAATCTGAAGCTAAAATGTTGAGTTTAAGCGCTTAAGGACGTGTTATTTGTGAACCACCCTTAGACACATGCCAGGTCAAAGGTCACATAAGGTAACTGGTGAGAAGCGCTGATGATTCACGCAGGTATGCGTTTCCTGTGTGGTCGTCGTGAAGCGGCACAGAGCGTATTCCTCTCGCTTCACTCTCCCTCCATCTCCAGCTCTCCGTCGCTCCATGGATCCCTTGGCAGAGGGCTGTAATTGGCCACACAGTGCCGGCTCTCTCTTTGTTTCCCCTGCAGTGGCTTGCGGTGGAACTGCACAGGCAGCAGGGCCTCATAAATCTCCAGGCCTCCGGTGGCACATCCAGCCTTCAGCTCCGGTTCTGCTCAATGACTTCACCCCCACCAAAAATCCCCACCCAGGGACGCGCTCCAAAACTTTATACCTCCACTCGCTGCTTGCTCTTGCCTTAATGTTCACTGCTTTCATGTTTTTGCAAGGCATATTCATTTAGAAGTTTGGAAAAGGACAGCCGCTGCTATCACTACATGTGCGCGTGTTGTAGTCCAGGTGATTTTCTGCACGTCTTTAACAGCTAATGCAACACTGAATACAATGCAGCTACAGACAATTATAGGCTATATATTTACTATTTTATAACTTACATTAAATGTAACTTTTTGAGGCAAACACACACACAAAAGCATTTTTACTTTTTTTTTTAAAACTTAATTTGCTTATTAGTAAGTGCACATAAAGTTTGTGTTTATAAAGTATGTCTGCATGCCATTGCAAAAATATTTCTTTATTCATTCCTCTATTCAACCTTATTAATTATTTATTAAAAACGCCTTCCTTTGTTCAAGCATGCCATAAACGCTTAAGATATTCATATTCACATTTGAAAACATTAATCAAGATACATAAATATACAGCAGTTTAGTATTGAATTTTTGTAAAGAAAGGTAAAGGGGAAAAAAAACAATCCTATTTACTTATTTATTTGAAAGCTTTTGATTCTTAGACATAAGTTTGACCTATTTTTAATCTATTTTATTTGTTTCATTTTTTTTATTTTATATATATATATATATATAAAATTATAATTGATTAATTAATAATTAACTATAACTAAATTAACTATTAACTATAATTCAATTAATTCCTAAAATCAAAGGTATGATTTAATATCACCAAATCAACTGACTAGGATCACTAGGCATTTTTAAGGGACATTTCAAATCAAAATAGTTGATTTAACACTTGCACATTACATTACAGCATTATATATATAATATTGATATGTAATGCTTAAAATCGTTGATTTAATTTACATTGAAGACATGCTAGAAATGACATGAACATGTCAAACATGCTTGACAAAGTATGTCTATTCATATTTGAATATTGCATAT